AGAAATCACATAAACAACTAAAAATGACATGAACCAGGTTGTCTTTTGAAACAAAACACAAGCCAACTAGGACATCACACCATTTTACTCCTTTAAATTGTGAATTTTGAGCTTATGTTTCCATGTTGAATAGATAGAGAATGTTAAAAGTCAAACCTTAAACAAAGGGTTGAGGTTGCTTTGAATTGCTTTTGAGAATTTCGCCTTTAGCTGGTCTGCTTTGGAGTAAAATTCCTTCTTTAATACCACATATGTGGAAGCAAAATATCTCAGATCCTAGGTCAAATAATTAAGCCAATCAATTTGGAAGTTATTTGACCTAATTGGGAGTTATTTGATTTAATTGAGAATTATTTGATTCTTGCCTTAATTAGGGATTTGATTTAAATCAATCCCTAATTATATCAATCTCTCCAAATCATGGAAGAATAATTCCTTTCCATATGTAGAATTATTCTTCTGAAACCCTAGCCTACGAGGCTCCTATAAATACATGGCCACACGAAGGGTTGAGGTACGTCTAAACTTCTATTTGAAACTCTGCAGAAATTCCCACTCACAAACCCTAGCAGCAATAACTCTTTCTCTCTCTCTCTCTCTCTCTCTCTCTCTCTCTCTCTCTCACACACACAAGGCTCTGGCCACCACACAAGGCTCCGGCCACTTGGTTCTCCCCACGAGAGCTCTGTACCCTTTCTAGCTATTGTTTCTCTACGAATCAATTGAACTAACTTATGCATTAGAGGGCCCTTGGCCAACACCCCGCAGGTGTGATCCTTTTACTCCGATTGGTTTTGCAGGGAGAAAGAGAAGCAAAGGGTAAAAAGGAATCTTAGGCGAATATTCTTGTGGGATGAAAATCGCTCCCAGAAATTGGTGTTTTCATTGAGAGCGAAAAATAATACTCAAAGCGTGCTCCAAATCCATTTTCCACACTTTGTTTCAAACAACCATGGTTGATACAAGACGTACGAAGAGTAACACCACCACGACGGGCCCGTCTCATGGTTTTGTAGTGGAATCCTCGCTGCAACCACACGGAACCGTGACTGCCAACACCTTGCAGCCGCCTCCTATCGCTTTGCAGCCACCTCCAGTTGCTGGAATTGCAGAACAGCCACGACAGACAGCTGCTGGAATTGCAGAACATCTACCACATGGTCCTGTGACCTCCACAGCCTTGCAGCCGCAAGCGCAGGCTGTCGGAGCTACTCTGCCACGCCATCCTGCCGTCAGAACACAGCAGCAGCCACACTGCTCAGTTGCCGGATTTGCTGCACAGTCCCACGGCTACTTCGATGTCGTCCTAGTCTTGGAGAAAATCCATTCTCTCCCTCCTCTGCAACCACACTTGACGTATGCACCTGTGTACGCATCTAATGGAGCCCTAGCCCATATGCCATTAGGCTCGATGCACACCTCTCTACCCGACCCACGCAGTCAGGTGGACCTTAACTCACGAGTTGATCAACTCACACAGAGGGTTAACGATCAAAACAACTTGATTGGCCAGCTACTTAGGCAGATCAACTTGAATCAAGGCCCTGGCCTTGGATCCCGTGATGAGAGGAGGACGCGCGAGCAGCAGTTCTAGAGGTCCCAGGCTGGTCAGATAAGGACAAACGGGCAAGGGAAAGAACGAGATCGTGTTGACGAGACGCAGACATCTGCAAGCCATACTTTGAGCCGGTAGACGATCCGTTCGAGGTTACGTCGAAGGACCAATGTACACGAGAGGCTGGGCCCACAGTGCAATGTCCACGCTTGCTTGGGCCCACAAGGAAGTATCCAATCCAGGCTGGGCCCACAAGGAGCTCGAGTTCGCGAACAGCCACGTGGCGAACACAACGATCGACGCTCAACAACCCACTCGAGAACCAACACACGGCGACAAGCTGTAGAGGAATCCTCACAAGCTTAATCTCCTAATCTGCCCCATGTGTAGAACAACCAAGGGGATCGGCGCTTGAAAGCTGAGGAGGAAGTTAACCAGTGGCGCTCGAGGCACCGAAGACATCGACCTGAGCCACCACCCCTACGGGCAGAAGATGTCAAGAGGCTAGTAAATGACTGACTCCAAGGTCTCCAACTTAAAGGAAGCATGGAGGAGGCCATGCGCAGGGAAATTGATCGTGTTGACTGCTTGCCCTTTATTGACGAGGTGGAACGAGCCACACCGCCGAAGCGGTTCACAACGCCGTCCATCACTCCGTTCAAGGGGGACTTTGACCCCAAGGGCCATTTGAGGCACTTCAACAGCACCATGATCTTGTACAAGGCAGATGACACCCTGATGTGCAAGGTGTTCACAATGACTCTGCGAAGGGCAGCTCAAGACTGGTTCTACACTTTACCGTCCGCATCGATAGGAAGCTTCAAAGAGTTCGCCCTCATTTTCACAAAGGAGTACACCTCCTACCGGATAGTCATAAAGCATGTAGACCACCTGTTCAACGTGCGCAAAAAGCCAGATGAGTCTCTTAGAGACTATCTTAAAAGATTTAAGGCTGAGAAGGCAAATATCATAGGATGCAATGACCTAGTTGCGTCATCAGCTTTCAAGAAGGACTTGCCAACCGAACATGAGCTATACCATGAGTTGGCCATAACTCCGAGCCAAACCTTGGCAGAAGTCTTCGCGACGGCACAGCACTACGCACTTTGGGACAATGACCGTATTGCCACGAAGAAAGCCAGCAAGCAAGCTGACTGCCCAATAGGCAGGCAAGCCAAAAGAGCAACAAGTTCAAACACAAAACACGGGACAAGCGCAGATCACGGCCCCAAGAAGGTGGCTCGGAAATAGGACCTTTCACTGAGTTTACTATTCTAATCCACCAGATCCTGGCACAAGTGAAGGACAAGCTGTGGGTGAGGAGACCGCCACCTCTGAGGGGAGACCCGTCTAGGAGAGATACTAGTAAATACTGCACATTCCACAAGGAGCACAGTCATTACACCAACAACTGCAATGCCTGGAAAAGGCACATCGAGGAGCTGGTTAGAGACGGTCATTGAACGCAATTCATAGCAAAGAAGGCCATCCAGCAGATCGAGGATCATGATGCAGCTGCCAAGGAACCTCCTCAAAAGGTCATACGAATCAACACCATCCTAGCCGACTGATAGGACCCGCCCTGAATTTCCTTGGAATCCGGGACGGATCCCGTCTTAATGCCAACATCTTACCGATGTCGGGCCCCCTTACTAAGAACCAAGACTTTCTGCCGAAATTTCGACAGAGTCTCCCCTGTAAATTGGACATTTCCCAAAATTTCTCAACATGTTAAAAACACAGTTTATCCACAATTGGCAGCATGAAGCTCTTCGTTTACCAACTAGGCTCCTAGCAGGCGACAAGCCTCCCTTACTCCCATTGAAGAAAAACGGTTTTCGATGTTATCTATGTTGTTTATTTCTTTTATTCAATAAAGCGAAGTAGTCTCACCAACATCAATACAAGAGCAAGCTTTTCAATGAAGAATTTTTTCGAGCATTATGTCCCACAAACATACACATGCAGGTGACCAGCCTTATCTCCATTGACTCATTTACATGCTCCAGTTTATCCATCAGCAACCCTACTCATAAGATATGTGCAACCGCACAAGGCCTCACCAAAATTTAAAGAAACCAAAAGACACTATTTTCTTTTGTGTGAATAATGTTTTTGTTTTACTTTTCTCTTTATTATTCATAAACTTTTGGTCTAACTCAGTTAAAAAATGCATTGATTTGCAGACAAGTGTTCTTAAGTTCGAATCCCTCATAACACATTTACAGTGTATGTGAGAAAACCTAACTCCCCTTACTATGGCGCGAAAAAAGGAAAGAAAGATGGGTGGATGTGTAAAAGTTTGGACTTTGGACTTCCGGTGATTTTGAATTTGGAGTACGAGTGTTGGAGAAGTTTCTTTTTCTTGTAGTTTTTGGGTGGTGGTGGCAAGCAAGTTTAAGGGAATGGGGTTCTAAAGACACTTTGGCCCAAGTGAGGCTCAAATTCAGCCCGAAGAATACCTTGAAAGCCCATGCATTAGCCCTGCGGTTTGGTCTTTCAGTACAATATCATCAAGATCAAGGCAAAATACCACATTTGCAGGGCTTTTGAAGTCTCAATACTCATCCATTTTGTTGATCGATTGGATTATTATACGAAATTTAATTAATTTACAAGTAAGAACTTATTTAGGTAACAGAAAGCTAAAAACAAGTTTTCCCAAATCTTAATCCATATACAAAAATACAATGCATAAGTGTACTTTTGAAATATAAATTTTCTTAAACTAAACTTGAAAATATATATAATAATCTCCACTAAAAATATGTGTGATTATGTAGGACAATTCATCATACATTAAATTACTTTCTTATAGTCTCAACTCAACACATTCCCTGC